AAACTCAAAAGAAGAAAATGAAGGCTCGGCAGCACTGCGGGTGTGATCCAAGAGCAACAGCCCACACGTGGCAGCACTGGGACTTGAACACAGATCTTCTGCTTCTGAATCCCAGTTCCATTTCTGGATAACTTCCTGGCCCTCAGAAAAAAAAGGCGGGTGGTCCTTGAGGAGTGAGGATTGGCTTTCTGCACACACGTATTGCTTTAGTATTCACAGGCAATGGAATGATCCACCAACTCTTCTGGAGGAAAATGGGATAGGTGAGAACTATTGGCAGCTTGGGTGGCCAAGCCAACGTCAAACCAGAACAGCCTCTTGAAGCTGAGTTCACACGACTCTTCAATATTGAGGCAGTCTCAGAACCTCAGAACCCAAAGTTCTGCAGTACAGTCTTTAGAACTAAAAACACTAAAGAGGGCTCTTTAGAAATTAAAACAAAGTTACCAAAGAAAGAACATGGCCTCAGCTGGGAGCGGTGGCTCACGCCTGGAATCCCAGCACTTTGGGAGGCTGAGGCGGGCAGATCACGAGGTCAGGAGTTTGAGACCAGCCTGGCCAACATAGTGAAACCCCGTCTCTACTAAAAATACAACAAATTAGCTGGGCGTGGTGGTGGGCACCTGTAATCCCAGCTATTTGGGAGGCTGAGTCAGGAGAATCACTTGAACCCAGGTGGCGGAGGTTGCAGTGAGCCGAAATCATGCCATTGCATTCCAGTCTGGAGGGCAGTGTGAGACTCCATCTCAGAAATACATACATACATACATACATACATACATACATACATACAAGAAGAAGAACAGGGCTAACCTTCGTCAGGCAGTGACTCCAGAGGCTGGGACGACAGAGGCTTGGGTAGAGAGAAGGGGAGACAGTGATGGTAACCGTGGGCAGGACGCCACACTGTGGCGGCTGCCTGGCTTCTGTTGTGAGAATTATGAATCTCTTTGGAAACTGACTGAGGGGCTAGGCAAGCTAACCATGCATCCACTCCAATAGAAGCTACCACTGTTCATTCAGGCATGCGCAGGCTCCTGAGGAAGCGCCTGAAGTCAGCCTTCTCTGGCTGGAGGTCTCAGAGATGAAACGGCCTGTCTACATCTCGGCAGCTTTGATTTGTGGCTGGCTCACATGGATGGGTCAGTCAATCTGTGCCTTTGACCTTTTGTGCTAGAAACAATGCCTTCCTGGTTAAGAGAAAGATGAGATAAGGGAGACATAAAGTGTAGGCTTTGGATCTTGCCAGAATTAAGGCTGACTCACCTCTCTGTGTTTGTTCTAACTTTGATTCCTTTAGTCCCAATGAGACAGATACCAGTTAAAAGCGCAGTCGTCTTATTTCTGATTAACGACAACGCTTAGGGCTATTCAGCTATGACCCCCCTGCTTCCTGCTCTCGCTAGAAGGTGGGATGTCTCCACTGCCGCAACAGGATGCTGAGTTGTGTTGTCCTCTTGGTAGTCAGGGGTGGATGACACTGTTGGATGGACCGGCTTTGAAGCTGAGCATCTGTCCATGTACCTGGCCGGTTGCTGTGTCAGGGAGGGAGGTGCGAGGACCTTTCGTTACTTTCCCATGGAGACATGCAACTGTGACTCTTACCCCATTCTGGAAAAGTTTCCCCATTACTCCCTCACGGAAGTGGAGAAAGTAAACAAATACGGCTCTTAACGAAGAGTCTTTTAAGAGAAAATTTACAGCTGTGTAATCTTGCTTCTCATGGCAACACGGAGCCCATCTTCTGGGAAAGGTATCCACAGTTTTATGTAACATGTTTACGAACAACAGAAAATATTGACAGTCTGTTAATCCCATCTGCTTCCCAGGACAGGGAGGAATCATTGCATAGTGATGCCAGAGGGTCTCCGGGTCCACAAGGGGATCTTTCTGGAGGTGTCCTGTTATAGGGGTCCTGCCTTTAGGGAGATGGAGGCCACAGAGTCTCATAGGTGAGCTCTTTTGGAAGAGAAATCAGGAATTTGGCCCCTGGAACTTTCTCTTCCTAATATGTGGCATGCTCCTAGCCAGTCTGGGCTCCTGAAATTGCGGGTAGGGAAGTGCCTAAATGGCCAGTGGGGTTGTCGGTGTGGAGAACAGTGTGACAGGGAAGGGGGTGGGCTTTCTCATGCTCTGCAGGCAGCTGGTGGGAAGGGGGCCCTGAGCTAAGCATGGGGGTGGCAACATGTAAAGGAGAGGAAAGTGAGCTGAGGCCCTGGTGTTTAGAGGAGGAGGAAAGGGAAAGAGAAGGAAGGAATAATAAAGAGGGACAGAGGGAGAAGCAGAGGCAGAGAGGGAGGGAGAGGGAGAGGAAGAAAGGGGGAGGAAGAGGGAGAGGCAGAGAGGAAGGGAAGAAGAAGGAGATAGGGAGGGACAGAGAGGGAGGGACAGAGAGAGGCAGAGAGAGGGAGGGAGAGGGAGAGGCAGAGCAAGTGGGAGAGGGAGGGAGGGAGAGACTGAGGGAGAGGGAGAGACAGAAAGGCAGAGGAAGAGGGAGAGGCAGAGAGCGAGGGAAGGAGAGGGAGAGGAAGAGAGAGAGGGAGGGAGAGAGAGACTGAGGGAGAGGGAGAGCAGAGAGACAGAGGGAGGGAGAGGGAGAGTCAGAGAGGGAGGGAGAGAGAGGGAGAGGCAAAGAGGGAGGGAGGGAGAGGGAGAAACAGAGAGGGAGGGAGGAAAGGGGAAAGGCAGAGAGGGATAGAGGGAGCAGGAGAGGGAGAGAGGGACGGAGGGAGAGGGAGAGGAAGAGAGAGAGGGAGAGAGAAGAAGGGAAGGAGAGAGAGAGGGAGAGGGAGAGAGGGAGGGAGACAGAGGAAGAGGAAGAGAGAGAGAGAGAGAGAGGGAGGGAGGGAGAGGGAGAGGGAAAGAGGAAAGGAGGGAGAGGGAGAGAGGGAAAGAGAGAGGAAGGGAGGGAGAGGGAGAAGGAGAGAGGGAGGGAGGGAGAGGGACAGACAGAGAGGGAGGGAGAGAGGGTTATGTCCTTGAAGCTTGCTGTAAAGGACACCACCTGAGACCACTCTAAGGGGATCATGGAGGAGATATGGGCAATGCTTGGGATGCTTTAAAGAGCAAGGCTGCATGGTTCGTAGCAAAACACGGACAATGATCTTGAGGGTCAGCAGTAAGAGAAGAGGGGAATTTGTGATGGTATGTCTAAACCACAGAACACTGAACAAGCACCACGAGGGCTTGCCCATATAGATCCATTGATATGGAAGCATATTCATAATTGCCAATGACAAAATTATTTGGGGGCAATGCTCATAGCATGAGGCCATTTTTTGTAAATTACAATATCCAATCTATTATTTATAGGTCAATGTCTGGACGGCCATTCAAGGATGTCATCCAGAACATCTTGTGACCCAAGTTACAGAAATGCAGAGAGCTGTCCACTGTAAGACTGCAGGGGCCATGGGAGCAGTGGCCGAAGAGTGTGCCCTGCCTGAAGACAAAGAGATTTCAAAATTCAAGAAAAAATTGACTCACCAAACAGATACGCAAGCCACCTGCTCTATAAATTACACACTAAATATTAGTAGTGATTGCTTCTGGGTGGTGAGATTTGGCAGTTACCTTAATTTTAAAAAATGCTTTTATAGAGTTTTTAGAATTATAATAATTTTTTGACCGTGACTATGCGTGTGTGATTTATGAAAAGACAAGAAGAGTAGGACCGAGTTACCATGTGAACTTCCTTTTCTGTTGACAGCATAAGGCCCCTCTCTGGGCCTCCCTGCAGGCAAGGGCACCATGCAGACTGGAGAGAGTGAGGCCAGGAGGGGCCCCCAAAATGTATGTCCAACGGCTCCCTGACTACCTTCATGTAGCAGCAGGAACTTAGCATGACCTGAGCACGAGCTATGGGCCAGGCCTGGTGCTGCTGGCAGCTTCAGCTGGTCAGGCTCCTTTAATCCTCACAAAGCAGCTTCAGGCGGGACCGTTGTTATCCCCTCTTACAGATGAGGAAAGCTGAAACAAGAGTTCCTGTGAGCTGCCCGCCATCACTTAGATTGAAAGACGAAGAGATGGGACTCAGGACCAGGAGGTTTCTGGCCATAGGGTAAGTGTTCTGCGGCTCCAAACCACCAGGCTACACTGCCAGCAGCCTAGCTGGCCCTCCGCTGCTGGCACCCAGCCTTTCAAAGTTGCCTTCCCAGGGGAGAGGTTAAAGGCCAGTTGTATTGTGATCAATACAGGGCCAACTGTATTGTGATCAACAAGTGCCAGAGCTGATGGGAATCTGTATATTGTGACTGGGCTAGTCAGATGGTTCATCACACCACCTGGGCCAGGCAAGGTGCTGACGGTGGGTGGACGTGGGGCAAAGACCTGATTCTGCTGGTTTCTGGCTGTGCAATTTCAGAAAAGTCAATTGTCTTTTTTTCCTGGTCTTGCAAAGTGAGGATAAACACACACACATCTCATGGGATTGTTCTGTGTCCCACAGGATAAGTAGAAAGTGCTTGGTAGAGTATATGGCCCTGGCATTGTTTTGGGTATTGCTATTGCTGGCCAAGGCTGGGCTTGGGGCTCAACCTCAGATGTTGAGGATAGGAGGGGCACTGCCTGCCTCTCCCTTCCATGTCCCTCCGCGATGGCTTCAGATTTGGGGGAAGCTATGAGTTTGCCCAGTGTGTGTTCATGGTCTCTACTAAATTAGAAAGGAAATAAGACAGGGCATGCTGGAGCTGTGGGAAAGAGTGTCACTGCTCTGTTCAACATTGAACAGGCAGCTTTATTTCCAGGCTGTGGATTAGGACAACCTGGAAGAACCATCCCGGGAGGAGAGGATTGGAAAGGCACTTTCCCCCTCAATACATGTCAAATTCATATACTTGAAAAATCACTGAGGCTTCTACAGTCCACACAAAACAGTCTCTGTTTAACAGCATCACGTTCAGTTTTTTAAAAAATAAATAAATAAATAAACACTACGTATAGGCAAAGGACTGACACTGAAATGCTTTATATCCCACAATGTTGAAAGAAAAGACATCGAGTATTTTTTTCCATTGCACCTTTATTGTTTATTCTGTTCAAGGTTCAGAATTTTCATACAGTCTTTCTAGAATCACATAGAGCCTACTGAGTAGCTCCTTTCCCCTGACATTGCTTTATTTCTAACCAGCCTCCTCTCATCCCTTGTCCTTAGTGTATGATATTCTGCTAGTGTCCAAGGAGTTCCCAGGGTTGTTTTTACAGGGGAGGGAGAAGGGTGTTCGGTGGTATTCCTGCGGCTTTCTCTCCTCTCCACCTCCTCTCTTGTTCAGCAGCCTCCAGACCCCCAAGGGCTAAGGAATCAGACACATTGGGTTTGGATCCTGACTCCACTAGGAGCAATGTGATCTCAGGGACATTTCTTGATCTCTCTGAACCATTTTTCCTTCTTCTACAATGTGGGGGAGGAAAACCTCCCTCTCTCACAGGGTTACTATGAGAATCAAATGACTCCAAGTATCCAAAGCTTCTGGCACAGTGCCTGGGCACACAGTACGCCCTACATGCACCTTAGCTTCCTTCCTTCTGGCAGGGAAGAGAAGATATCTGATAAATCAATGCCAGAGCCAGCTGCTCAGGAGCATTTGCTTTATAAAAGAGCCTGGTCCCTTTAATAGAGCCCAAGAAATGACTCTCTAATGATGGAATTTCAGACACCACAGCATGGGTGAGGGAGAGATCTGGAGGCATAGACTACAGAAGCCTCAGAATCATTTGAATCCAGCCAGGCAGACTGCTGCTGCTTCTGCCTAGGGGCAAGGCTGGTGATACAGTCTGGCTGTCACACCACCCAAATCTCATCTTGAATCCCCACGTGTTGTGGGAGGGACCCAGTGGGAGGTAACCAAATCACGGGGGCAGGTTTCCCATGCTGTTTGCATGACAGTGAATAAGTCTCACGAGATCTGCTTTAAAAATGGGAGTCTCCTTGCACATGTTCACTTTTCTTGTCTGCCACCATGTGAGACGTGCCTTTCACCTTCCACCATGATTGTGAGGCCTCCTCAGCCACGTGGAACTGCAAGTCCAATAAACCTCTTTCTTTTGTAAATTGCCCAGTCTTGGAGATGTCTTTATCAGCAGTGTGAAAACAGATGAATACAGCTGGCAATGGCAGAAGGAATACTAACCCCCTCTTTTAGGCCATGTCACTGCAGCCAGGCAAGGGCCCATTTCAGGGAGCCAATTTGTTTTTATGCACCCATCCCTGCCAGAGAGGAAGTTGCTTCACGTGGGTGTAAACCAGGGGCTTTAAAAATGCAGCAGTCCTTTAGGGCAATCATTAAATCCCCTCCTTATGCCCCTGAAAAGTCACTTGTCACAGGGCTGTCCTCACAGCCTGAACCACCATGAGCTCTCATGGGGGAGTTCTTGTGTCATTTACACCCCACCCACTTTTGAAGAGGATCCCAGGTATCTTGCCAAGGAAGGAGTAATGCACCTAGTTCTGACCTTTCCGCCTTGTTCTTCCCAACTGTCACGGTACATGACCACTAAAATCAAAATCTGATAAACAAATGGTGACAAGAATGAAACAATAACCCTGCCAATAAGAAGCTGAATATTCTGTTCAAAAGTTCATCTGCAAATACAGCCACACTCTTCTTCCTCAACGGTAGTCCTTTTAATTTTAAGCTGATCTATCACTCAGCCCTTATTCATGCATAATTCTCAGTAAAGATAGGGTGCATCTAAGGTCTGCATGCCCACAATCGTTTGATATCTCCGAGAGAACAACAAAAAGCCACTCAATAGACAATCTTGAAACATGCACCAACCAAAACCATGGCTGGTAGTATGGGAAAATGTCCTTCAGACCAAAGAGGCAGAGAGACAGAGAAGGAGAGAGAGAGAGAGAACAAGAGCGCAAAAGTAAAAGATTCGAGACGAGACAAGAGGACTAGAATGGCTCCACAAGAGAACACCTGCAGTTGGGGGAGGAAGGGACAAAGCAGATAAAACCAAGGAAAGCTCTATGGATCTGGGAGTGCCTTTCCAAGTATTTGGTTCATGCTAAAAAATAGAGCACATTTATTAAAAATATATATTTATAAACCTTGATATGAACAGATACACACATCAAGCCAATGAAAAAAGAAAAATAAGTTATCTCCCCGGTATCAAATAGTTAGACACTTTTGATGAATGGGATGCCTGTCAAAGGGCTGCCCCTGTGGTTTTTCCACTAAATAGCTCGTCAAGTGAAGATGAAACACTTGTCCTGGGAGACACACATCTGAGCCGTGTCCGCCCTATTCATCTTTTCAAATATGTGATACCCGTCAGCGATCTGGAATAATGCATTTCTGCACCCATCCGCTCACCGATGGTGTCAGAGGCTGGTCGTCCAAGCATTCTTCTGGGCCCCCTGCCAAAGACGTTGAGTTCCTAGTGCTGTGAATGAGTTTTGTTGGAATCATTGTGCTTTAGTGTCTGCTCCCTGCAGCAGGATCGGTCTATTTGTGTGACCTTCTGTAAAGTCTGAAGGTGCATTTGATTGGGTGGTGTGGGTGGGTCAAGCCTGCTGGTTCTCGCAGTGTCTGGTCAGTGATACGCCGACACGCAGGACTTCCGTCTCTGGCCATCCCGAGGCCTCTGAGGACGCTCTGGGCCATTCACAGGGTGGTGTATATGTAGACAAATATGATCACAATCAGGTTCAGAATGGTCCCAATAATCCCCAGCATTGCCAAGACACTCTCCTCCTTACTTTCTTTTTCTTGACCTCCTCTGTCTTCATCATTTCCACTCGTGATTACCATCTTGGTTGCAAATGTCTTTATCTTCCTCACCAGGCTAACCTGTAATTGGAAAGAGGCAGCACAAAAGATGATCACTTATAAGCATGCCCTCCATAGCCAGGCAGATCTGCAGCGGGTGGTGATCTGCTTGCAGGTCAGACCATGCTGGGGGGATGACAAATCACACAAGGATCCTATCTTGGGACACCTTGCTCTTGGCCATGGGAAAATGGCAGAACACGGCTAATCGGTTTAGAAGATGAGCGTCCTGACACTGGTACAGAGAGAGGAGCCTAGGAGTCTACCCGGGCACCACCCACTTTGTTGAGCTGGTTTTCCCCCTTTCCCTTGAAGGAGAAACTGGGTCAGCTGCACTGCAGTGAAACTAAGGTCTGTGCCCTCCGTCCTGGTGGTGGGAATTTCACACACTCTCACATATCAGGTTACACCCAAGAAACGTGCTGTCCTGAGTATCCACGAAGTGTGTAGCGGGCATCACAGTCCTACCATGCTAAAGCTCTGACTGCGGTGTGGGTAGGGATGGTTGGAAGCCAGGGAAGGTGATTCATGGAGACCAGGCAGGATGGTAAGGGGTCTACACACAGTGTGGATGACTAGTACCATGAGAAATTATCATAATCTCTTGTGGAAATAGATATTGCTACAATCATTCCAGAAGATTTCCTGGCATTAGCCAGAAAAGTGAAAAGACATATGCTACCACTGGACACCTGCTCTGCCAGGCGTGTACCCTAGAGAAGGCCTCGCTTCTGTGCACCTGGAGACATAGACAGGACTGCTCCCATGGGCTTCATCTGCCATAGCAGAGAACTGGAAGTTACCCAGATACGCACCAAGAGGAGAGCAGATGAACATGTGGTGGTCAGTCTCTACAATGGAATATTATATGATGGTGAAATGAATGAATTACAGCTACATGCAACAGGAAGAACAAAGCCCAGACACTTAACGGAGGGAAAAAGCACATGGCAGAAAAATTTGTGCAGCACCATTTGATTCATAAAGGCTCAAAACAGGCAAAACCAAGTTATCTATTGTTTTAGAGATGAGCTCTTTGATTTTCATAAAAAGTAACGCAATGATTAGCATCAAAATGACTAGTGTAAAACTCAGGACAGTGGCTTTCTCCAGGCAAGAGCGGAGCAGGCTGCCATGAAGGAGGGGCACCAGTGGCCTTCAGATACTAGTCATCTGCCATCTGTTATGCTTTAAACTGTTCCTTTAAACTGCTGGCATATCTTCCAGCTACTCTCTTTGTATGCATGATACATATTGCAATAACCAAAATAACTTTTTATTTTCGAAGACAAAAAACATGGCCATCCAGGAGGCAGACTGGGCAGTCAAAGCCTTCTTTTCCACCAATTGCTGGTCCAAACCATAACTAAAATAGGACTAGTGTCTGTGGTGGTGGCGGCTCGTCCACTTGTGATGTGATGTGCACCAGACCAGCCCATAGCTACATTTCCTCCATTGGAGGGCTGCACCTTTAGAGCCAGAAGGCTTTTCATGCTTCAGGGTTTGATGATGGTTAAATTTGTGTGTTGGCTTGACTGAGTCATGCATGCCCAGATAGTTGGTCAGGCATTATTCTGGGTGTGTGTGTGTCAGGATGAGATTAACATTTGAGTTGGGAGACTGAAGAAATCAGACTGTCCTCCTACATGTGGGTGGTGATGGACCAATCAGCTGAAGGCCCGAATGAAACAAAAAGGCTGACATTCCCCCAAATTCCTCCTGCCTGCCTGCCTTCAAGCTGGGACAATGGCTTTTTCCTGCCTTTGGACTGGAACTGTCGATTTTCAGGCAGCTCTTCCTGGGCCTGGAGCCTGCAGGTCTTCAGATGGAACCACACCACCGGCCATCCTGGGTCTCCTGCTTGCTGACTCACCCTGCAGATCTCAGGCCTTGCTGGTCTCCGAAATCACATAAGTCAATTCTGTATAACAAATCTCTTCATACACACCTATATATATCTTACTGGCTCTGTGTCTCTCATTCGAATGCTGTCTCAGGACACACATCCAGGAAGGATCACAAACGGGAATCTAGGAACGTGGGAATGTGAAACGAAATGGGAAATGAAATGTCTGCATGCCCCTCCCTCCGTGCACATGAGCCCCGAGAGGGCTGGGTCGCTCGCACCTTCCAGAGCGGCTCTGGATCCGGAGGACAGTGTATGTGAATGAACATCTGTACCAAGGAGAGGCAAGCACATCAGTGAAGAATGGAGGAACTGATGCAACACAAAAATGTGCATAAGTGAACAAAGGAACGCCCTAAAGGCAAGTTTCATACTCCTCACAACTTTGGTTTACTAGACAGACCTACAGTGGTTTTCTACTCCCATAGCTCAGTTAGGGAAAGCTTCTAGTTGGATTCGTTTGGTTTTCCTGCTTTTTCTCCCCTCGTATGCTTTTCATGATGTATAGTAAACATACAGGAAAGTCCACAAAGTGTGTACAGCTTGATACATTTTCATATCTGTTTAGCACCGAGATAAAGAAACAGAGCCTTCCAGCACCCAGGGGCCTCCCACAGTGCCCCGTCCAGTCACTATCCCTACCTCCTGAAAACCATTAATGTGGCTTCTAACACCATTGATGAGTTTTGCCTGGTTTTGAATTCTATGTAAATGGAATCATACAGTATGTCCTCTTTTGAGTCTGATTTCTTACTTTCTACACTGTGTTTGTGAGATTTGCTCACGTCTTTGTGCATAGCTGTGGCTTATTGACTCTCATATGTGAACAGTATTCCACTGGATCACTACACCCAAAATTTATGTCTCTATTTTGTGGCTGATGGGCATGTTCGTTGCTTCAAGTTTGGGGCTATTATGAATAATGCTGCTATGAACATTCTTGTACGTATCTTTGGGCAAGCATATACATACATCTTTCCCAATATTTCATATGAAGTTTTTTTAACATACAGCAAATTTGAAGGAATTTTACAGTGAGCACCCATAAACTCACCATCTCAAATCCATCACTAACATGTTCCCATACTTGCTTTGTCACATATCTGCCCATTCCTTATTCATCTATCTTCTTTTTTGGGTGCACTTTAAACTACATATATCATTATTACTCTTACTATTATCATTATTATTTTAAGACAGGCTCTTGTTCTTTTGCCTAGGCTGGAGGGCAGTGGTGTGATCACGGCTCTCTGCAGCCTTGACTGCCTGGGCTCAAATGATCCTCCTGCCTCAGCCTCATGAGCAGTTGGTACCACAAGTGTGCACCACCATGCCCACCTAATAAAATTTCTTTTTGTAGAGACTGGGTCCCACTATGTTGCTAGGCTGGTCTTGAACTCCCGGGCTCAAGCAATCCTCCTGCCTCAGCTTCCCTAAGTGCTGGGATCATAAGTGTGAGCCACCATGCTTGGCCTAAATTGCAGATATTATTTCATTTGCCCTTAAACACAGAAGCATGCTGCATGTTTTAACTACAGTTCAGTATTTATTTACAGTTTTCTCTTTTAATGTAAAATTCACATGTGCATTTCCTATTGACTACATACATACCTAGAAAAGGGGCTGCCAGGCACAGGGTATGCATATGTTTGACGGTAGTGGATACTGCTAAACAGCTCTTCAAAGTGGTTGTGTCTGTTTGCTAGTTTGTAGGTGTTAGTGGATCCCCTCTTTTTATTTTGGCGACTCCATGGCTCAAACTTTGCACAAAGTCATGAGAAGTTGGTTGTAAGAACCTTAGAAATCCACTCCCTTCACTGCCCTGGACAGATGTCTATCCAAGCACTAGTCATCTCTTTAATGGAGTCTCTGGTTTATCATTCATCTTCTTAGAAAGACTGCAAGCCCTTAGAGGAAGGACTTTCGAATCCCCACCTCCAAGTATAGTGCCGGGCATGGAGCAGGAACTTAAGAAAATTGAATGAGTGAATGAATGAGTGACTGAATGAATGAGTGGGTGCTCTGGGGCAACCTGGCATCTCCCAGTATCTGCAGGCCAGGGAATAGATGGCCAGGGTTGGTTTAAGAAGATGCAATTAGTGCTGCCTTTATAACCAAAGACCCATCATCACAGTCAGTCAAGCAAAACAAAGTGCCTGTCATGGAGGCTGCTTCGTTTCAAGGCTTAATTTAGCCTCTTTCCTGAGTTAACCCGAGATAACTCTGACTCAGGAGGAAGTGGAGGGGAATAATCAGGTCAGCTGTGTTTACTTTCTGAGGACTCTGAAGCAAACAAAGACCTAGAAGAGACCTTCTCCGACTCACAGAAGAGTTGCATCTTAAGCATCTGTTTCCAAGTTGCTTAAGTCGTCAACTTGGAAACTTGAATTCCCCTGTAGACACCATGTTGGGAGTGTGGCTTGATTCCCAGGGGAGTTACTGAGGGCTTCCTTAAACGGAGTGGTTAGAATATTGTTTTCTTTGGAAAAAGTTGTCTGGCCAGGGTCTGGAGGATGAACAGTGATGGAGGATACTCACAGAATCCAGGAGATTAGCCTAGAAACCAGAGCAATGATAGAGATGGGAAAGGAAAACAGAAACAAGAAGCAACAACTATAATAATAACTGCACATTTTTAAATGAATTAGACAGTGCGATGAGAATGTTTGTAACTCAATGGATAGATGCTTGAGGGGATGGATACCCCATTCTTCATGATGTGTTATTTCACACTGTGTGCCTGTATCAAAACATCTCAAGTACCCCATATATATATATACACCCACTTTGTAGCCACAAAAATTAAAACTTAAAAAATAAAAGTAAAAAAATTTATAAAAAACAACAAGCAAAGGCTGGGATCAGTCATTGTCTGACATAACGTCTGCTAAAAGGTATAGATATTCATTTATCAACTCAATCATTTACTCATTTCTTCCTGCCAGGGGCTGGGTGGAGGGGGAAGTGGGGATTGGCTGATAATTGTAAAAGCGTCTCTTTTTGGAGTAATACAATATTCTAAACTTAGATTTTTAGTGATGGTTGCACAACTCTAAATACACTCAATATACTAAAGTCATGAAACCGTACACTTCCAATAGATGAATTTTGTGGT